AACCCCAGCGCCCCGCCTACTATCAGCGGGGAGATCTGCGTCCTGTCGCTGGCCTCCGGCGCCCTGTGCTTCAGATGCACCGTCAGCCTCCGTAGCAGGTGCTCCATGATCGCCACGTAGCTTTGGGGAATCGACGCCAGGATCTCCCATGGTTTGCGGTTCCCCCTGCGGAGGCAGGAGCGCATCGGCTTGTCACCCTCCGGGGGCCCCACGGCTCCCCGGCCAGTGCCCATCAAACTCACAGCCGGCAGAACAAGGCCACCACCCCGATGCGATGCGAGCAGAAGTAAGCAAAGTGGGGACAGGAAACCCATAGGGGAGCAAATCGGTGAAAGCTGCCTCGCCCTGGCCCGTGTGGCCCAGTGGATAGAGCGTCGGCCTGTGGACCGAAGGGTCCCGGGTTCGATTCCGGTCCAGGGCACCTACCTCGGTTGCAGGCTCCTCCCTGGCCCAGGCCCTGGTCGGGGCGCATGCAGGAGGCAACTAGTCGATGTGTTTGTCTCACATTGATATTCCTCTCTGTCTTTCCCTCTCTCTTCCCCTCTCTCTCTAAATCAATGGGAAAACGTCCTCAGGAGAGGATCAGGAACAAAAAGGAATCGGATCCATTTGAGAAGGAGCGAATCGGAAGCCCGTGGGGCTCGCCGAGGGCCCACCTGTGGGACTGGTCCTGCATCTGGAGCAGAGTCAGGATGACGTCGTCGGCGTAGGCCTGGGCCAGCAGCTGCAGGACCTTCCTCATGGTCTCCTGGGCCGTGGCCTCGGTGATGCTGTTCATATTGTGGTAAATGAATTTCACCATTTCCGGGACCTGAGATGGGGGGGCGGGGGGAGACAAAGGTTCCTTCCTGGATGCCCAACCCCTGCTCATCAGGAGACCCATTGCCAGGCACCCCCATAGCTAGGCACCCCCATTGCCAGGCACCCCCATAGCCGGGCACCCCCATAGCCAGGCACCCCCATTGCCAGGCACCCCTGCAGAGGGCGGGGTGCAGATTAACGGAAATTAAAAAATAAATTTTTAAAAATATATTTTTTATTGATTTCAGAGA